TAGCTAGCTGTTCACAAAATCCTCCACAGCATTGGGCTAAACTATTTCCAGAAACCAGAAAATTTGGGAAATAAGAGATATCTTAGATGCTGTCTGGACCCCTCCCATCTTCCCTATTACTTTTCACAGCTGGTGTGGAATCATGTAGGAAAACCCTCTGGACACGGGTTGGGTGTGGGTGCGTAATGGAGATGCCTGCTGCACATGTCTTCGTGGCAGCAATAAATGCCACGTTACCCTTTGCCACCCCATGGACACAGAAGAGAACGGGGAGAGGGACAAACGAATCACAAATGCTTGCTTGTCTCCCTGCCCCACTGTGACAGGGGCTGCCAGGGCTCTGCCTGCCCAGCCTTGCTCACCAAAGGACACCCTGGGGGACCAGCTCCAGTATTACAGTCCATGGGGGGGGGGGAAAAAAGAACAAAAAGATCTGCTAAAACAAATTTTGGTAAAATGAAAATGCTGCTAGAGGGACGAGGTGGCCGAGTGGTTAAGGCGATGGACTGCTAATCCATTGTGCTCTGCACGCGTGGGTTCGAATCCCACCCTCGTCGGTTTCCCCACCAAGCCCCTTCCTAAGAGTTACTGTTTTGGTGCTGCTTGCCCCATATCTTTCTGCCTTTTGTGTTTTGCTTTGCAGTGTCAAATACACATTACATCTGCCCCTGGACTGCTGCTCCGCGGCCTGAACCTGCTCGTTGTGGCTCAGGGATGGATGTGGCCTTTGTGTGCAGTGTGGCAGGGGAGCAGGGTGCCTGAGCCCACCTGGGTGTCTCTCTCCTGCCATCCCATTGCCTGCTCTCCAGGAGCAGTGAACTGTAGGCAGGGAAGGTCAGGACTGGGATGCTGATGGGAATAAAAAGCTGCCCTGTGTCTGGCGTGTCCCAAAGGTGCTTGCTGTGGGGATGGAAGAGCTGCTGTGCACTGGCAGCTCCCTCCTGTGCCTGGAGCAGTGCTCACAGTGGAGATTTGTGGAGACAGGAGAGCGTGACCAGTGGCAAGATGAAGAGGAAAGAGGTAAAACTGCTTCTGGAATCTCAGTGGTCTTGTAGAGAGGAAAGCCCTGCATTTGGGATTCTGTGCTTTGAGGCACCTGGGGAAAGGTATCATGCCAGTCTTTCCAGTGCCTTCACTTTCTCCCCTCTCCTCCTCTCCACTGATGAGGATGTGGCCAAGAAATGTCATGGCTTCAAGGCAAGGTGAGGATGCTTAGGCTTAGCTGCCCACACCTTTTTGACCTTCACTGTGGCTACATTTCCTTCCCATGACTTAGGGAGATGTCCCTGGGGACCAGTGAGAAGCTGCTTCCCTCCATCAGTGTCTCCCGAGCCAGAAACCATAAGCAGGCTGCAGGAAAACACTGGCCCCATCCCATTCCACTGCCATGAGATGCTGTGGTGCTTGGCCAGGCCTGCCACCCCAGGAAAGGGGCATGTCCCTGCCTGGACAGCCAGGTGCCCTGCAAGGGATCTGCACGAGATTTCCTGGGAAAAATGCATGAGTTTGGGTCCAGCCCTGCAAAGAGACCAACCTGCAGCTGGAGATGATGAGATGGGCTGGGGTGGTGGGTGCAGAGGTATAGCAGTGCATGGCAGGGGGATTTCTGTCACAGGATGGGACCTGGGACCTGCAGGGCACAGGCAGCCAGGAGAGGATCCCCACTGATTCCCTTAGGGCACCCTTCAACCCTGCCCTGGCACACACATGTCCCTGTCCTGGTGAGTGGTGATGGGTCCTCCTGAAGGGAATGTGCCACTGTCAGTGGTGCTGTGGGGCATCAGACCACCCAGGGACCTGGCAATTACAGGGATCCTTTGGCTGCGTAGAACTGGATCATCTGCAGCCTCAGGACAGCGCCTGGCAGCCAGAGCCTGGCTCTCCCCAGTGGCACCTGCTGGGCTCCCTGGGCTGCACAGAGTGGCCCTGGAGCATCCCGAGTCTGCTTTGGCAAGGACACAGGCAACCAGGATGCTCTGTGCCTGGGTCTGGCTGCATCAAGATTCTGCCTTCTGGCACTGGGGTGTCCCACTCATCCATCAGCCATCTGAAGTGGTCCCTGACTGTCCTGCTGCCAGGAGGCAAGCCCTGGGTGAGCGCCCTGCATGCAGACATTCCTTGGAGATGGGATGCTGTAGGTCTGTTGCTGCTTCAAGATGTGTCCCTGCCTTTGGCTTTCAGGAGAAATTTTAAGACAGGGGTAAGCTCTCACCCTCCAGCCAGTCTCGGACACATCCAGCCTTTGGGTCATTGGAAATCAAAATGCAAAGTGCTACTGGGACTGGTGATAGGAAGGGAAATGGATTATTGATCCCGGGCCATGTTTTTTGTGTCCTTACCTGCAGGAAGAGGCAGGGCTGAGGTGGCACATATCCTGGATCTGTGCAGAAGTTAAGAAAATGATCTGACATGTTTCATTTGGTGAAATTTTCTCAGGTTTGAGGTTTGTCCAGAGAAAGTCACATCTCAAACAGAAAGTGCTCATTCCCTGAAATAAATACAGATTGGAAAATTCAATCTTTTTCTCCCAAATATCTGCCCTTTCCCCCACTGTTTTCCTGTTTGAAAACAAAAACCCAAACAAACCAGGTTGGTAGAAGAAGGGTTTAATTCTCAGGCTGTGCGTCCAAACTGCACTTGTGGAATCAATTTATTATTCAAGAGTGGTGCAAAAAGCAGCACAGTAAAGCTTATACTGAAATGTCATCTTTTCCTGCTTGCCAAGTCACCATTTAGGAGATTATGAATGATGAACCCACAGCATCCTGCCTTACTCCAGGAGCTGCCAGGTTGCTTCTCCCTGAAGCCCATGTCCTCTGCTGAACCTCAGAAAACCTGATTTCCTTTTCCCCCTTCCAGAATGATGTTAAAAAATAGCTGAGTTTGGCCTCAGAACCTTGGAAAGACAGGCAGAGAGGAGTCACTAGGGACCATTTAGTGTGATCCATTGTGGCCAAGTCATCTCAAGAACTCAAATGACCCCCCAAACCCAACAGGGTTTAACAGGATGCTCACAGCCCGACACACACATAGTACATGTCGCCCAGTACTGTCAGGGTTTATTCCAGGTCAGGAGATGTTTGTGCTGTGAGTTTGGCTCTGCTGGTGTGAAATGAAAAGCCTGTTCCAGACTTTCCTTGCCTCTAGAGCTCATGATGGCTCATCATGGTCCTGCTTGGGACCACATCAGCAATTCCCTCTCCCCACTGTGAGGGTGATTCACATTTAAGTGCAGGTTGAGATGTTTGGGATGTTTAGTTGCTAACAGGCTTCCAGCAGAGTGATCCCAGATCCCTGGTGTCACACCAGAGCCTGTAATTACTGTAATTGACTCTGTCTTGACTATGTCATCCCATCACAAGGAAGGACACCTGTGACCTTCTGGCTCACTGCTACCACCCTATCCAAGGAGTGGGATGGAAGGGCTTTTGCAAGTCAGCTCCCTGCACAAAAATCAGCCAGTTTAGGTATGTGTCATCTGTGGGGCTGGACTTCAGAGCCCATGATCACTTTACTTTTAAAATCTGATGTGCCTTCCAAGCATGACTTATACCCCAGGTGTGAAGAAGAATAACAAAAAAACAAAAAACAAACAAACAAAAAAAAACAACAACAAAAAAAACCCCCCACACACACAAAAAAAAACAACCTTAAAAAAAACAAACAAACAAAAAAAAACAACAACAAAAAAAACCCCCCACACACACACAAAAAAAACAACCTTAAAAAAAAACAAACAAACAAAAAAAACCAAACAAAAAACCCCCAAAACAAAACAAAAAACCCCAAACAAACAAAAAAACCCCAAACTCCTCTAAGTGCATCCAAACACATAACAAATTGCTCATGCTGGGCTAGGTCAGGTCTCTGTCCACATTGCTCATCCACACTACTGCAGCCCCTCAGCTTTCCTGCCGTCCATGAGACTCCTGGCACAGGATTTCACTCCAAATGGATGTTCCTTACATTCAGTTTACATCCTTGGTCTCACCTCAGGTGTATCAGAGAGCTGAATTGGTTGTGCTGAGAGGAAGGGGGGGATACGTCTGCTCTAAATTCTGCTGAAACACTCTCCTGCCTGGTGGCATAAAGACCTAAAATGTCCCTTGGCCTTAGGAAGGAAGGTAATTAATGCCTGTAGCCCGAATCATTTCAATCTTACTCAGTATTACATGGAAGAAAAACATGAGAGATGAAAGAGGGAACTGTTTAATCAGTTGGGGGAGCTTTCCAGGAGAAAACTGCTGGTTGTTGGGGAGTTTCAGGCTGAAGGCACACACCCACTCCCCTGGGGGGCTGGGCCACCCTATAAAACTGTGGGGACAGTGCTTGGCCCCACCACCTGCTCCAGCTGCCACCACTGCCACCTCCATCTGGGTAAGTCGAGACAGGCTCCATTCCCTTCCCTACCCCTCCCTCTTCCCTTCCAGCTGCACAGGACATCAGGGAAGGGTGTATTTCTGCCCTAAAATAAAGAGTGCAAGGGGTTGTAGGATGCAGGGCTTACAGGGTCCGCAACCACATAATCAGTTGCAACCTGCATGATTTTCCTTGCTGAAGGAGAGAAACAAATTAGAACAGGACATGCCTGGGTTGCAGGGATCAATGTGTCCTTGTTTATGGATGGTCATCAAAGGTCCCTTATATTTTGGGATGGGATGGCTCAGTTCATGTTGTGTTGATTTAAGTGGGTTTTGCTTCAACCACATGCATCTTGTGACCACCTTGCTTGCCAAAGTCTCCCCGTCAGCTTGGAGCAGGAGTGGGTCTGCTCTCTGGTCCCAAAACCTGGTGCCTCCAACTTTCCCAGACTCAACCTGCAGCTCAAACACAACTCCCCTCATTCTCCTGAGTGGTTTATGGGGCAAGGTGGGGGGAAGCTTTCTTTTGGTGCTTCTAAAACATCCAAACTCACCCTCTAGCTTGCTCTCCCACACCTCTTATTATGGGAGGTATTGCGTGAGGGCTCAGCAAGGACAGACCAACCTCTGCCTTGCTTTTACATCCCAGCTCTGGCTTTCAGGTGCACATCCTTGCTGAGCCATGTCCTGCTACGACCTGTGCCTGCCCTCCTCCTGCAGTCCCCGGCCCCTGGCCACCAGCTGCAACCAGCCCTGCTTCCGCCGCTGCGGGGACTCCACCGCCTTCATCCAGCCGCCCACGGTCGTGGTCACGCTGCCCGGGCCCATCCTCAGCTCCTTCCCACAGAACACCGTGGTGGGCTCCACGGCCTCGGCGGCGGTCGGGAGCTACCTGCGCTGCTGCGGCATCCCTGTGGGCTCCCGGGGCCTGGGCAAGGCAGGACTGCTGTGCCTGGGCACCAGGCTGTAGGGTGTCTCCAGTGGGCTCCTCCTCCTGCCTGTGCCAGCAGTGTGGTCAGGAAAGGCAAGTGAAGCACACAACCAAGACTGGGGGAGAGGACTAAGGAGATGTCCCTGGGCTTCCCAGCAGTTTCCCCAGGAGGACGGTAGCCGTGCAAGCTTGTCACTCCAGACCATGCCTCTGTACACCTTTGTCTCACTAAGTCTTTATATTTCCATGTTCTACATGGCATTTGCTGCTGGCTGGGCAATAAATGCTTCTAGCAGGCTGTAGATGGCAGATGATAATCATGGGGTTGTGGGGCAAGGGGACACCTTGTAGGGATCAGCTTGTCCCAAGTGGGGTTTATCCATTTCTTTATTGAGCACTGGAAACACACTTGTACTCTGAACTGGTTCACACTCCTTCTTATTAAAGACTTTCTACATCATAGCCTGAGTCTTCTGTTGTTCCTTGTTCAGGAGCCTGGAGGGGTGACATCCTCTGGAGGCATCTTGCTGCTGGGGAGGTTTGGTTTTTACATTAAATGGGAGTTTCTGCTGCCCAGCTCTTCCCTGTGCTGACAGACATGTGTGGTTTGCTGGGACCAGTCCCAAGGCAACTTTCTTATCCTGGAAACCTCTCCTCCTGCCCCATGGCAAGCATCTGCTCAGGGAGGAATTCCTGCAGGAGTACAATTTATAGCCTGTTCCCTCAAGGAGCTAGGAATGTGAAGGTTTAACATTTCAAAATGGCATTTACCCTGCATTTTGCAGTAATATTTTGGGGGGCTGAGCTAAGGAGGTGGGCATGGAGTCAGGGAAAAAAAGGTAGAAGTGGGATTTTTGGAAGATGGGCTTCTTTGGATGGGCATTCTATGCCAAGATCGCACAGTGTTTAATGGGTGACAGTGAAGAGTGAAAAAGAAGCGACAATAATTACTTTATGGATAGGGGACACTGATGTCTCTGGAAGATGTAATGAATTGAGTTAAGCCTCTTTTTAAGATACCATGGATCATCAGGCAGAACTTTTTCAGCTGATGGAAGGAGGAATAGGAATATTTGCATAAAGTTTGTGAGCCTTTATAATGAGGGATTATGCTGAGCTTGAAAGCTTATTGGTCATCAAAAGCCTTTGACCAAGCTCAACTGGTTTTATTGCCCAGGAGACCTTTGCTGAGGTGCTCCTAATTTGGAGGCAATTTACATGGCAATTTCTCAGCAGCCAGTGCACCAGGAGAAGGGAGGTGTCCTTCTTTCAAGGACTGCTCAGATATTTTTATCCCAGCTATTGCAATTGTCTGCAGAGACAGGATGCAAAATTTTGAATTTAAAAATTACAAAAAGCTTTGAAATTCCAGCAGAAGTTTTGTTGGGAAGCTGTGGGTCTCTGGGCCTTGTGCAGCTGCCTTCCTCAAGCCTGCTGCACTGAACAGTCCAGGAGGGAGCAGGTGGACAGAATAATGACATTTTTATGTCGCTTTGCACTGAATGACTCCACTGGTGAGGGTATACAGATTTTGATTTTTTTTTCCTGAAAATCCAATGTCTACAAAAATATACACAGCTTCTTGATTTTACTTGAAAATTGTGGTGTCTTAGTGCAGACAGTTGGGGAAATGAGGACCTTGGTGCCTTTCAGCACTGCCTATCCTGAGGGCCAGGGGACTCTGCATCCCATGGGAGCTGTGACTCCAGCTGGGAGCTGTGCCTCTTTGGCTTCCAGCTCAAGAGCAGTTGAATTCACCATATTGCCCCCCCAAGCCAGTCCTTGCCCCAGGCAGGACCCCCCAGACCTGCTGATCAGGCCCTAAATACAGGTTCCTGTAGAGGCAGCGCATTCAAGGGCTCCAGTGAGAAACACAGAGCTACATAACAAGACAGGCATGAAAAATATTGCTCAGCAGGTGGAGGCACATGGAGGGAAATAGCTAGGTCCTGGGATTTGGTCCCAGCATTGCTCACCTATAGCATTCAAAAGCAGAAGAAGCATTTTTGAGAAGAGCCTGGAGTATGGCTCAGGTGCCACCCTCTGGCCATGCCTGTTGAGGTTTATGACTCCTGTCCACTTCCCATCTTCCCTCAGCTGCTTCATGATCTTGGAGGAAACCTGCTCCCTGTGGTCATTCAGTATCCTCAGGCTCCTGAAGGACACGTACCTTCCTACGTGGAAGGGTTGATGAGGTGGGAAGGAGAGGGGATGTCATGGTTTGAGGAGGAAAAAGCACAGAGAGCTGTTGTGGAAAAGGGGAGATTGCTGTGAACAGCAAGTGAGTGGGACCATCTGTAACAGAGACTTTGCCTGTGGAGGGTTAGGCTGGTGGGGCACTGAACAGGCTCCCCAGGGAATGGGCAAAGCCCCAAGGTTGCCAGAACTCCAGGAGCATTTGGACAACCCTTTCAGGCAGAGGGTGGGATGTTTGAGATGTCTGTACAGAGCCAGGAGTTGGATTTTGGTGCTCCTTATGGGTCCCTTCCAATTCAGGATATTCTATGATACTATGGAAGCCCCAGGCAGCGTGGTGCTGGTGGTAGGGCTGGGATTGGTGGCAAGGCTGGATTACTGGGGGGCCAACACAGCATGTCAATCTGCAGCTTCTCTGCACATCCAGGTGAGAAGACAAAAATTGCGGTGTGTTACAGCAGTGGGAGAGGATGAAAACACAGATCCCCCACTTGTGCCTTTACAGGGTTGCGAAAGGTGTATTCCAGACTGGCACTGGGCTGAGGGCAATGCTGGGAGGTGAGCTGCATCAACAGGCAGCATCCTTCATCCTCCTCACTGAGGCAAGCACTGCTGGCCAGAGCACTTTGGGACACACCTGGAGCCAGCCAGGTGAGAGACAGAGCCCCTGTAGCTGGGGGCCTGCAGGCATGGCAAGCAGAGAGATGGGACTTATGTGGCCAGTCCCTGGATGTGTCCAAGGCCAGGCTGGATGGAGCTTGGAGCAACCTTCCAAATTGAGGAAGCAGAGAGAAAGTGGCTGCCTGGCCAGGATAAGAGGGAGGAGAGGCCACCACTGAGGATATCCCACCCCAGACACCCATGGATCAGGCATAGGGCAGGGACTCAGGGTGCCCTCCCTGCCACATCTGGGGAGCCAGACAGGCAGTGGCTCTGCCAAGGGCTCCTGTTCTTCCCCAGGGCTGGAGATCCCCTAAAATAGGAAAATAATAGCCTGCCCACATGTGTGAGTCAAGGGGGAAGAAGCAGACAAATTAAAAGGCATAGACATGCTGGTCTGGCCCTCCTGGTGCTCCCTGTGGTAATAGGGCTCACAAGACTTGCGTCCTGCAGCCCTGTTGGCTCCACATGTGTCACCCTGAGCTCACATCACCAGCAGACACCGCTCCTGGCTGTCCTACATCCTCCTCTACTCTGAGTTTTTGCTGTGGAGAGCAGACCTCAGGGAAAGACTGGGATGAGCACAGTGAAGGTGGAGTCCAGATCCCAACGGGTCCTAGGAGGGAATCTAAGTTTTAAACTCAAGAATTGTGTGATAAAACATTCCAGGGCTGTTAATTCACATTTGCTGAGAGGTGTCTGCATACCTCCCAAAGAGGAGAAGCGTGATGCAGTTATTGCTGTGTGGAGTAGCTCCTGTCAGCACTGGTTATGTGGATTGAAGGACCTGTGTGGGGGTTATGAGACCTGGAAATAATGGGGTGCAGAGGTTCCCTTTCCTGCTCCCCTCCACCCCTCTGTGATTTGAAAGGCTGTGGCTGAACCAGCCTCCCAGTTCCCCTCAGCTGGCTCAGGGCATTTGGATGGGGGGAATCTCTGCTCTGGCACAGCCATGTGTTACAATCGGTACTGGAGGCTCACTGCTGTCTGCAAATCATCTCTTTGCACTTCTGTGTGAAGGGGGGTCCCCAGCAGCTGGGGCCCCTGCAGCAGCGCATCTTCCCACCCCAGCACAGCTACAGGCAGCTCAACCCTCAGGAACTGTGTCCTGGAAAATTCCCCATGTCCTGCCCTGGAACTGTGCCCCCATGGCACCCACAGGAGCACCAGCACTCTGCTGACCCCCGTGAGAGCTGGGAAAAAAGAGCAGACAGTTACCCGGCACTCACAGCTCTTGTCCCTCGGGAGCCACACCAAAACCACACTGGGATCTGTGGGGCTGTGACATGGATTGGAACAGGGCTGGTCCCACATCCTGGCTTGGCAAATTCTTGCAGGTGCTTCAAGAGTTGGCAGCAACAGGCCACTGGGGTAGGGGATGTAGATCAGCAGAAGAGTACTTGCTTTGCATGCAAGAGGCCCTGGGATCAACCCCCAGCATCTCCATCTTCTTTTGCCTCCCCGGACTGCTCCCTGCTGGATGCAGGGCTGCCAGAGTCCCCTCAAAAGGCCCTGGGGTTACCTCTTGGCATGGTTGGCCTGGAAATTCCTCCTTAAGGCTGTGGGTGTGCTGGGGAAAAGCACATCCTCAGCTGTACCCCAAAATACAAACTGTGGGTCTGGGGAGGCAAAAGGGGTGCACGCACTCCAGATTGCTGGTGTAGGGATGGTGTTGGTTGTTGGTGTCATGCACTTTTGCAAGAGATCCTGATTCAACTCCTGGATAAACCCTCCTTTGGATACAGCCCCTCCTTTTTGGGAGAAACCCCTCCTTTGAATAAAGCCCTGGCTTTGGAGATGACCCTTTGTTAGGACAGCTCCTCCTTTGGGACTGCACCCCTGCTGCTCTTTGCTGACCAGGTGTAGGATGATCAGCCCTTGCATCCCCCAGCTCCCGGCAGACAGCATCCCGTGGGGTGGCTGTAGTGCCTCTCATTCAACTGACATTACTTTTGGCACATAAACACAACCCTTGCAGTGCCAGGAGAATGTGCCCTCCCAAACAGCCCGACAGAGGGGATGTAGCTCAGTGGGAGAGCGCTTGCTTCGCATGTAAGAGGCCCTGGGTTCAATCCCCAGCATCTCCAGTTGGTTGGTGGTTTTTTTGTTCTTTTTCCTCCACGAGGCGGCGATGATAAACTCCTTTTACATCAGGTTTTCCCGGCACCACGGCTGCGCCGCCCACCCATGGCCAAAATGGCAGCACGGACCCAACCCTCTAGCGTCCCCCACTGGCCCGACAGCACCTTCCCCACTCAGGAGAGGACCAATCCCGACGATGGCTTGGCCGTGTCAGACCACCCGTGTCCCTTGCGCAAGGCATCGTCGCCCCACGCGTGCCCGCAATCCAGCGACGGAGTGCCCAAAAAGAAGGGCTCGTCCGGGATTTGAACCCGGGACCTCGCGCACCCTAAGCGAGAATCATACCCCTAGACCAACGAGCCGGGGTGCATGACTTGTCCCGCACCCCCACTCTGCCTCGCCACACCCCGCACGCTCCCCTGCTGACATCCCGACAAAACGGGCACGGTGCAGCCAGCTGCCAGCGAGCACCATCAGCCACCCCCGCGCTGTGATGGCCTTCACCCCGAAGGCGTTGGACTCGAAATCCTGTAGGGATTCCCTGCGCAGGTTCGAATCCTGCTCACAGTGACAGGTTTTACCCAATGCCCAGATACTGCGAGTGTTGGGGTGTCTGCCCTCTCTGGGGGTCCCGGTAGAGGCTGATATGAGAAGGTCATTGGCATCCAGTGCAGCCCCGTTCCTCTCGGGAGGTTGTGATGCTCTGGGGCGGTGACACATCTGAGATTCTCCAGCTTTTGCAAAACCGGGAGAAGTGAGGAAAAAGACACTGAGGGGAGTGGCATGGGGAGGTTTCCCGTCTTGCTGAGTGGATGGCCCCTCACCACCCTGTCCCACATCTCTGGGACAGCAGTGCACCCCACCTTGTTTGTCCAGCTTCCAGAAGAGATTCTGGGCACCACTAGCCCTCCTTCCCAGCACCTCTACATATACAACTCTAGGTGCATCCCAAGACACGTGGGAAAGGAAAACATCATGCTTTGGTGCCCTGCAGGCTCCAGGCAGGATAGGGAAAGAGCTTGGGGCATTTCTACACAGGCTGGAAGTGCTAGGAGGCAGTGCCAGGCCTTTCCTAGGGAGCTGTGGCAGCCCTGCATCCAGCAGAGAGGGATCTGGGGAGGCAAAAGGACATGGAGATGCTCGGGGTGGATTTCAGGGCCTCTTGCATGCATGTAAGCACTCTCCCTCTGTGCAAGAGCAGAGAGGGGGCCCTGGGATGCCCATGCTGGAATAGGGAAACCTTGCTTTGGGTCCCTTCCTGGTCATCTTGAGCTGCTTTAGGGATCCAGATGTGAGACTTTACCAGGGGAAACCTGCATTTGTGCCAGGAGGAAACCGTGTGGTGACTGGATGGGACTGGAGTGTGCAAGGAGATATGGGGCCCTCACTGGACCACCTGCAGTTGCCCAGTGAGCCAGCCAGGGCTCCGTGTGTCCTGAGACACTGTGGGAGCGGGGAGGTGCCTCTGTTGCTCCAGTGTGAGGCGAGAAGGGAGAGGAAGCAGAAGAAAACATTTTATCCCCAGAGTAGAATCACGGGGGACAGTGAACTGGGGACTGAGGGTGCTCCGAGCCAGACAAGGACCCCCAGCAGTGCCCCCAGTTTGGGACAGGGAGGAAAACTAGTCCCTCAGGCTAAGGTACACTGGAAATTGAACCCAGGATCTCCTGTTTACTAGGCAGGCGCTTTGACCAGCTGAGCCATGGCACCCACTGGCCCTCCTGACACTGGGTGTTCCTTAAAACACCGGACCCTCTGCCCACCTCTCTGCCTACATGCTGTCCCAGGTTTGGGATTCCCCAGCTGCAAACCCCATCTCTTTTTGCTGCTGGGAACACTCCCAGTGCTGACACAAGGCCCAGCACAGGGAGCCCAACATATCCCATAAAGCACCACCAGCTGGGTTTGGCAGTCCCCAAACCCTACAGGGGCGTGCTGCCTCATCCCTCACCCTCGCAGAGCTGTTCTAGCTGCCACCCTACACTGCCCTGAGGTGACAGCCTGTCTCATCTCCCTTTCTGGCTGCTCCCCACCAGCACCAACCATCACAGAAAGACAATGGTCACCGCAAGGGACAGCGTGAGCCCCGTGGGGAAGGGACGCTGCGTGCCTCCACACGGGCCAGCACCCGGCTAAGGAGGGAGATGTCGGCAGGCAGCTCCTTGCTGCCTGTCTTGGGGCGCCAGGAGGCAATGGCAGGTCAGACGTGGCCACAGGCAAGGCCAGGCACTTGTTGGGGGAGGATCTGGTGAGTCTCTGGGGTGGCGGTTTGCATCAGGGCGGGGTCTGGAGAGGCAAAAGCAGGTGGAGATGCTGGGGGTTGATCCCAGGGCCTCTTGCATGCAAAGCAAGCGCTCTCCCGCTGAGCTACATCCCCCCGCCCCTCTGGCAGAGCGCGTGCCCTGGCGTTGTCCTCCCTCCGGGAAAATGCCCGTGTCTGCTGCCTTCCCCTGGCGGCCGAGGTGGGGAAAGCTGGGGAAAGGGTCTGTGCAGGCAGTGCGGGCCCCTGAGGTGTGATTGGGCTGGTGAGGGGGTTGGGAGGCGGGGAATAAGTGTGGGGCAGAGCAGGGAGGTAATTTTGCAGGCGCGGAGGGCACGTAAGGGGCAGGCGTAGGTGTGGCAGCAGCGTGTGGGGCGTGTGCCGTGTCGGGCAGGGCTGCGGTGGCGAGTGCGAAGGTGAGGGCAGTGTGTTTGCAGTGCGTCGAGGTGTGGGCGTGGGGAGGAGCGGGTGTGTAAAAAGCAAGGGCTCGTCCGGGATTTGAACCCGGGACCTCTCGCACCCTAAGCGAGAATCATACCCCTAGACCAACGAGCCATAGTCTGCGCGTTCGTCGGTGTCCCAGGACACCGCGGACATCCCGGCAAAACGGAGCGCGGTACATCCCGTGGCCAGCGAGCCCCCCCTCCCCCAGCCGCCGCCGCTGTGATGGCCGAGGGGTGAAGGCGTTGGACTTGAAATCCAATAGGGATTCCCTGCGCAGGTTCGAATCCTGCTCACAGCGATGGATTTTAGCCGGCATCCATGGTGGGCGTTATAGTGCAGTTGCAGTGACTTGTCTGTACCTTGTGGTAACTACAGCATCTTGCTGGTCGCAGCAGATTTTTTTCCTTGACTAATTGGTGCTGGTGAGTACTACCATCTGGCCCCACAGAGCCCTTGTGCCCGGAGCTGTTCCAAGAACGGCGGGGCCAGTAGGATGGTGTTTATCCAAGCCCCTTTCTGTCCCCTGGCCACAGATCGATTCAGTTAATGAGAAACTCTGCCTTGGGAAAGAGGCAACGTGCTGGCTGCTGAGAGGCTTTCGCTCTTCAGCGGGACGGGAAAGGGCAGGAAACCCCCAGGGTGTGAAGAGCCGAGCCAGGGGCTGAGAGCTGCAAGCAGACCGTGGGACCATGGCCAAGCTGGTGGAATGCGTCCCCAACTTCTCAGAGGGGAATAACAAAGAGGTGAGGCAGTACGTGGAAGGGCCGAGGGGTGGGTGACACCGGGCTGCTGACAGCCAGGTTTCCCCCCTGCAGTGCGGTACGCACTGCTAGATTCTGCCATGCTTCCTTTGCAGTTTCGTGCATCTTTCGCTACTTGGCTAGTGCCAAAAATGCCTAAATGTAGCTTTGGAACCCTTATGGCAGCTCAGTGGGAAGCAGGGGCTGAGACCTCTTCCACCATTGCCAGTGGGTTGTTGCAGCACCAGGTTTGGAATATTTCCCTGCAGAGAAATATTGCTTGCAGTTGTGCCAAAACACGCTGTCAAGGTTAATGGAGTCTGTCCTGGGCATCAGCCTTCAACTGAACTTTGGCTCTGCCAGTGGCAGGAGAATTTAGCAAATCCAGCATGGCTGTAAAAACACAGCCTCCTCCAGGGAAGAGGCTTAGCAGAGCCAAATGTGTTGGGAAGCTGGCAGGTAGATGTATCCTCAGAAACATCAATTTGTGGTGGTACTCTGTGACATGCAGCAGCAGCCAGGTTTCTCTCCCCCACCACAGTGAGTTTGGGGAGCCAGGGGCACCCCAAACCTCCTGAGTGGAGTGGGATGCTTGTGCAGGGCTGCATCCCCGTTGATCAGGGGTCATTCTCAACCCTATCACCAGTGGGAAGGGCGAGAGCTGAGATGCCCCCTCTCTTGAAAAGCCATGGCTGTTGTATAGTCCCAGCCATCTCAGCCCCCTTGCTCCCTTCTGCTGTCTGGCAGGTGATCGATGCAGTGGCACAGGCCATCTCCCGGACACTGGGATGTGTGCTGCTGGACGTGGATGCCGGCGCCTCCACCAACCGCACCGTCTACACCTTTGTGGGGTCCCCTGAGGCTGTGGTGGAAGGGGCATTGAGCGCAGCCCGTGTGGCTGGGCAGCTCATTGACATGAGCCAACACTCGGGTGAGCTTGGGAGAGGCCCAGGGGCTGGGCTGGCACAGAGGGGACTGCCGTACTGCTGGGACCAAGCATGGCACTGGAACAGGGACTGTGGTCACAGGCTCAGGCCCGAAAGAGTTTAAGAAGTGTTTGCGATGCTCTCAGGCACATGGTGGGATTGTTACGGCTGCCCTGTGCAGGGCCAGGGGTTGGACTAAATGATCCTGGTGGGTCTCTTCCAACTTGGGTTAGTCTGTGATTCTATGATTTTCTCACAGCAATGGTGTCCAGTCTGTAAGAGTGTGCAAAAGTGTGTTCTCCCTCCTTGTCTGCTTGTTCTTCCCATCTCCCATTCCTATACCTGCCCCGCCACCAGGTGAGCACCCTCGGATGGGGGCCTTAGATGTCTGCCCCTTTGTGCCAGTGAGGAATGTCAGCATGGAGGAGTGTGTCACTTGCGCTCACATCTTCGGGCAGCGCTTGGCAGAAGAGCTGGGTGTACCTGGTGAGTGGGGTCAGGAACCTCTCCACATTCCATCCCATCCTGCATGATTCCAACTGTTGGAGAAAGTGCCAGTCCCTGCGTGGAGGTGCTCACCCCCAGCTGTGTCTTGCAGTTTACCTGTACGGAGCAGCAGCACGGCACGAGAGCAGGAAAGCCTTGCCCTCCATCCGTGCCGGGGAGTATGAGGCACTCCCTGAGAAGGTGAGCCTGGTGGTGGCACGGGCTGGGCAGACTTGACCTGTACTTCGCTGGCTCAGGGAGCATGCTGGGGGCTGGCATAGTCCCTTTGCACCAAGAGGAGCTGGTGACACAGGTGGTCATGGCAGATTCCAGCTGGGGAGGGAGATGCCCTCCTTGGAAGGGTGGCATGTGCTCCGGGCGGTGCCAGCCCACACACTCTCTTCCCTCCTCCCCAGCTTGCAAAACCAGAGTGGGCTCCTGATTTTGGGCCCCCAACTTTTGTCCCCCGGTGGGGAGCCACAGTGACGGGTGCCCGGACCTTCCTTATTGCATACAACATCAATCTGCTGTGCACCAAGGAGCAGGCTCACCGCATTGCCCTCAACATCCGTGAGCAGGGCCGCGGCCCCAGCCAGGTACCTCAAGAGCATGGGCACGCCAGGAGCATGCCTGCCTGTCCCCACACCTCCTGGGCTGTGCCCTGAATGTGGCACTTGTTTGGCAGCCCGGGCGCTTGAAGAAGGTGCAGGGCATCGGCTGGTATTTGGAGGAGGAGAACATGGCCCAGGTTTCGACGAACCTGCTGGACTTTGAGACCACACCGCTCCACACCATCTACGAGGAGATTTGCCGAGATGCACAGGTGGGTGGCCTGGGGTGCTTGTTCCCAAAGGGGCTGAATAGCACAAAACTCCCAGAAACTCACTAACTTGCTCCTCTGTTGAAAACTTTTCTGTGAGCTTCCCATGTCCTGGGAAGGGATGAGGACGACCAGGCTGAGGCAGTAGTGGCAGCAGGGCTCTGGGGAAAATCACATTTCTGATGTCCTTGCAGGAATTGAATCTCCCTGTGGTGGGGTCTCAGCTGGTAGGACTTGTTCCCAAGAAGGCCATGCTGGATGCAGCTGACTTTTACATCAAGAAGGAAAAACTCTTCATCCTGGAGGAGGAACAGAAGATCAGGCTGGTAATGTGGCTTCTCCTGATACCAGCAGAAGGGTGGGATCATGGGAAAGACACATCCTACCCCCTACCAGCCTCCCAAAATGGCACTGAGCAGAAATTTGGGACTGCTAAGGCCTCAGGCATGACATTTGTCTCCAGTGTGGATTTTGCGGGTGCACAGCAAGTGAGACAAGTTGCTTTATTGTGCTGAGGATGCCAAGATGCACAGGGAGCAGGAACCACGTGTGAGGACTAAGTGTGGGTAGCAGCTTCTTGTCTTGCCTGCATGGAAGCCAGGAGGGGAAGGAAATGTACCTAGAGCTCAAGGGCAGTGTGTGGCATTATGGGAGGCTGTCCCAGGACGGGGAGTAAGCTGGAAAGGAGGAGACAGGCTTTGCTGTTCCGCTGCAGGAGGGAGGGACTTTTCCAGCCTGTGGGGAATGTGCTAGATAAGAGCAAGCTAATGATTTATCAGTACAGCTCCCAGTCATGCGGAGGTGACCGCACACCACCCCCTAGTCTGCGATGGGATGGGCTGGTGGTGCCCGCTGTCCTCTCCCTGGGTGGTGGCCCAGTCCCAGTGCTGACTCACTCATGGTTAATTAGCAGTGGGGAATGAGGATGCAGTAGGACTTGCATGACAGGGCTGACGCAGTGGTGCTGCTCCTTGCAGGTGGTCAGTCGTCTGGGCCTGGACTCCCTGTCTCCATTTCACCCCCGGGAGCGCATCATTGAGTAAGGACCCACATCCTACTTCTTGTCATGGTGCCCATTCATCCCTGGATGGGGGGATCCTGATGCCTGCATCCTGCATTCAGCTTGTTTTGGGAGTGATGGCTGCTCCCAGCTCTTCTTCACAGCCTGGGGACATCTCTGCTGGGTGGTTGTGCAAGAGCAGGTTGGTCCCTGCTCCCAGATGCTGATGGTTGTGAACATGGAGTGGGGGAACTCCAGGTTGCTTCAGCACGCAGTGGGAGCAGGTTTCATGGGCAGATTTGAATATTAAATTCCTTACCCTATCCCCATGCAAAATTTCACTGCCTCTGGTTCACATGCTGCAGCACCTGGTGTGACATGAGTCTGTGGGGGGAAAGGAAAGTAAATCCATCCATGAGGTGAAGTCCTTGTCACCCTTCCTGGGCAATGGCTGCAGAGGCATTTCTGTCCCACCAAATGCTGCTTGCATCAGCCCAACCTGGCTAATGCAGAGCAGCCCCCACACCACCTGTGTTCCTCAGATGTCCCCATGGGGTTCCCAGTCCTTACCCTGGCCCTCAGGCTGTTTTTAGTTAGTCCCCTACTCATTCACAGGGTTGATGCTGGAGAGGGCAGTGCTGGGTGAGAAAGGTCTGGGTGGTGGTGGTGGTGTCCCTGCACCTGGAGGGCTCTAAAACACCTGTGCTGCAGGTACTTGGTGGAGGCAGGAGAGGTGGATGGGGGGCTGGTGGCCAAGCCACTGGGTGCCTTTGTGCGAGCCGTCGGAGCAAGGTCAGCAGCACCGGGAGGAGGCTCCGTGTCTGCAGCTGTGGGAGCCCTGGTATGTGCCCCACACCAAGGGGGGCTGAGTGTCCTTGGTGTGCCTAGGGGATCTGGCACGGTGGTAGCAGTGGGCACTGTGTCCTACTGGGGGATTTATCCTGGCAGGGAGCAGCGCTGGGCAGCATGGTGGGGCTGATGAGCTACGGGAAGCGGCAGTTTGAGGACCTGGACCCCATCATGAGGAAGCTGGTCCCCCCTTTCCACCAGGCCATGGAGGAACTGGTGGCAATGGTGGATGCTGACTCCCGTGCCTTCAGCAGCTACATGGTGAGGTTCCACCAGAGGCATCCTGCAGGAAAACAGGAGGGCTTTCCAGCTGGGAGGAGGGCTGGGATTGCTGTGCTCTGGATTCCTTAGGAGCAGGGCTCTGACCTTAGAATCCCAGAATCATTAAGGTTGGAAAAGACCTCCAAGATTATCAAGTCCAACCTTCTACTGAGTACACCCATGCCCACTAAACCATATGGCAAAGTGCCACTTATTGCTTTTTGAACACTTTCATGCTAAAGCCAGGGCCTGGGGAAGAGACATGGTCACCTAAGGGAAGTTTGCAAGAGCATGGGAGCTATGGGATCTGCCCCGATCCCCGATGCAAGGCACGGTCTGGGTGATGGCAGCAAACCTGCTTTTCTTTGCCTGCAGGAAGCCATGAAGCTGCCCAAGAACACCCTTGAGGAGCAGGAGAGGTGAGCTGGGCTGATGGGGACTGGCTGACTGTGGGGACACAGCCACCCAAGCACCCAACCCAGGGCTGTCACCCCTCCCAGGCGCACAGCTGCCATGCAGCAGGGGCTGAAGATGGCCATAGGGGTGCCCTATGGCCTGGCAGAGAAGGTGAACGGGCTCTGGCCTGCTCTGAAGGAACTGGCACGACACTGCAACCTGGCCTGCAAATCTGACATCCAGGTATGGCCCCAGCTCACACAGACTTGCCCTGCAAGGTGTTCCCTCATGTCCTGAGCTCCAGGATACATGTCTCCAGCTGTGCTTCCCAAACTGGCCAGTGGTTTCCACCCAGTAATTCTTTGGCAGCCATTTCCTGAGAATACCAACAGATTGGAAAGTGCTGCACACTGCTGGGTGGTGCAGGGTGGGAGTCCTGCAGCATAAGGGTCTGACCTGCTTCAGCACTGTATGGTGGAGCTGGTTCACCAGGAGAGCTTCTCGCAAGCCCAACTTTTCCCAGGTGGGAGCCAAAATGCTGGAAGCGGCAGTGTTCGGAGCTTACTTCAATGTCATGATCAACCTCAAGGACATCACAGACGAGAAGTTCAAGCTTGTGGTGAGCTGGGCCGCCTGAGCGCCCATGGCGGTGCAGCTGAGGGGTGGCAGACGTGGCGGCGGCGGCCTGGAGCCCCTCGTGCCTGATTGCCGCTGGCGGGATGCGTGCTGTGCACGGTGGATGGCTCTTCTGGCCTGTCGAGTGGCAAATGACTCATCTTGTTCCCACACAGATGTCACAGAAGGTGTCTGGGCTGCTGGAAGAGGCGAAGCAAGGCTCGGCGGTCGTGCTGGCACTGCTGGACAAGCGGGTGGCCTGAGAAGGGCTTGGGAGTGCTCTGGGTGTTCTGGAGTGGCGAATGCAGCTGGGAAATACTCTTGTCCTTGCCTAGTCTCGGTTGGTATTTGCCTGTGGAGAGGTGTGTGAAAAATACGTTCCTCTCCTGTGAAAATTTTAAAAGTTTAATAAAGGACAATAGGAGACAGGGACCATAGAGCATATTATGGCCGGGTGCATCTTGGCACTGGGCCAAGACCACACTGTTCCCTTTGGGGATACCCCTTAAATACCTTTTCCCTTACATCAGCCTGTTGCATATTCATAGACCCTCATGCATATCCATAAACTAGTTGACATTTTCCAGGAACTATTTTATATGGCCCCTTCTTGGGTTCACCTTTTTAGAGCATGTGTGTTTCTTGGCTGTGGTTTTGGCTCCTTCTCTTTATCACTTCCAGTTTGGGCCTTGGTCCATACCTTCTTCAGCTGATGAGTGCTGATAGTTGGCATATCTGTAGCAGGTGTCCTCATCCTGTGTTCATTGAGTGTATCCCATCCAAGCAGGCATTTTAACACAAGCATAGCTATTTTACTACTATGTCTAAGCTTAATTAACAGTAGAAATACAAACGATATCTTTAAAACAAAGTTACTTTAACACCACACATATAGAATCCATTTTAATATTTGCAAAAATCCAATATTATAACATCTATATATAACATCTGTATAACATATCTATAACAACTGGTCTGCTCAGGCACATCCAGCATCATATCCCCTGGCCTTTCCCTGGACAAGGGGGATTTTTGCTGTCTGGGACTTGGACCCCAGGCTCCGATCCCTGGGGCAAAAGTAGACGATTGGGCTGGCAGTGCCTGGGACCACAGTGATACTAACAGAAGGGATGGCAGGATCCCTGTAGCACTGCCTGCAAGGAGATCCCTGTGCATGAACACCTCCTGACCCTGCACAGTCCCTGTGTCTAGAAACCCCCATGAAACACCCCATGAAACACCCTCCTATCCAAGATCTGGGGCAAGACCTGGCACACAGTCCCTTTCTGCCGGGTGCCTTTCAGGCTGTGTGTGACAATTCCAACCTGTTGAATTGTGTAGGAAGGGGGCACTGCCAAACATGAGGCACCATCAGAGGTATTAGCAGGAAGATGGGGTGGGTTGAAATGGGAGAAATCCTACACCTTCCTCCTAGATCCTCCAAGAGGAAAACCTGAAAATCAGGGCATCCAGCCCTGTCTCCTGTTGACCGGGTGTGTCAGCAGATACTGTGTCCTCCACCTGCACACAGTGGCAGCACCCTGAGCAGTGTCAGGCCCCCACACCAGCTGTCCCACAGCCCCATCTGTGGGAAGGTCACCCCTGTTCCTAGACACTGTGCCTGAGCGGGGAGCAACGAGTCAGTGTTCATGGTGGGGTCAGCTGACTCACTGCATCCCTCCCTTGACACCGGGAGCTGGGATCACTGCCCTCCATAGCCTGTGTTTATTATCCCCGTGGGACCTTTGTGCCGGCTGGGAGTGGCGTGTTGACGTTTCTTGGGTGCCCATGGTGACAGTGCAGTGTCACCTCTCAGGTATCACCCCTGCCTGCCGCACCCGTGCTCAAAGGGGCAGGGCCCTGCTATTTAAAGAATGCCCTAGAGCCTGGAGAGCCATGCCAAGGACAGGAATCCCGAGTGCTGCCAGCATTGCTGCCAGCATTGCTTCTTCTGAGAACTCTTTCACAGGTTTGGTGAGTGCAGGGCAGCACGGGGACAGTGGGAGCATGGGCACCCGTGGGTCAGGGGGCACTGTCCCCATGGTGGGCACTGTACCCAGGCATGTGTGCCTAGTCTCTTGTAGCTCACGAGGACATGAGCGTGGCACCCAGGCTGGGCCAGTGTGGACTTATTTCTATTAAAAATGGAAACCACATGCCTGGGCTTTGGGGGTGCATGGAGTGGGGGACAGTCACTCTGGGAGTTGGTGCTGTCACCAAAGGGACAGGATGGTGGTTGAAGTCTGTGGGGGCTTGGCACTCTGGGGGAAGCAAGCATGGTCCCTGTGCTGGGGGAAGATGTGGGACAGAGGAGACATGTCCCAGCTGCTGGCTGGGTGATGTCTCATGGCAGGAGGTGACTAATGGTGACTGTCTTTCCCTTTCAGCTTGGAGACCACTGAGGATGTGTGACCCCAACAAAGGTGAGGGGCTGTGGGGCCAGGCAGGGCTGTAGGTACCATACAGCTCTACCATCAGGACTTAGAGGGGAGATTTATGCCATGGCCTCAGACACCTGGGGGATTTACCTGCATGCCAAAGGGGTGTGGGGTGTCCTTTATGAGGAGGAGGTAGACCAGGGTGGGCCCTTTGGGTGGAGGGCAGCACCAGCTTCCTGCACTGTCTGTCTGGGGGGAGCCTGTCTCTGCCCACTAACAGGCTCCTCTTCTTCCTAGGCCTGCCACAGCCGCACCTTGCCGTGTGCCCTCCCGCCCCTCCAGGATACCCCGGTCCTGGCACAGGTTCCTGCCCTGGCAACATGGCAGTCTGCCCCCCATACCCTGCTCCGCCTGGCCAGCACCCCCACGGGCACCCCCCATTGGGGCATCATCCTCACGGGCACCAGGAGCACCATAAGGAGCACCATAAGGAGCACCATAAGAAGCACCATAAGAAGCACCATAAGAAGAAGCACTGCAAGAACCATGAAGGCAAGGTAAGAGTGGGACAGCAGTGAATCCTTCCCTAATTCTTCTGCTGACCTCCTCCAGCATATCACAGCATCTGGCCTAAGCAGCTGGGACTCTCCTCTCCTACCCTATGGTGGCTGGAGAACACTGCCCAAACATCAGTGTCTTTTTTTAGATGTGGAAGCTCATTAGAATAATAAATAGCCAAGAATGAGTCATATTATGTGAGTAATTTAAAAAGCAATCCATGAAATTCCTTGAAGCCATTTAAAGTGATAGCATGGCTCGGGGCACACTGTGCAGTGTATTAAATTCCAGGACTTTGTCCTGCTCACTTGAGTGCAAGTCGTGCCTCCATAATGGACAATCAGTGTCTTGCAGCAGAGGAACTGTTTGGCTTCCCCTTTAAAAGAAAAAAAAACTAAAAAAAAAAAAAACACCCACCCAAAAAAAAAAAAAAAAAAAAAAAAAAAAGAAAGAACGAAAAAAAAGAAAAGGAGAAGCAATTCCCTGCTTAGAGTAAATTCTGCAGAAAATACCATTCCAGGGATGGGCACCATCCTGAGCAGGTCTAAATGAAGAACTGCTAAACAAGGCCCCATTTCCAACATTGGAGGTGGGAGCATTTCTCAAACAAATCCTACCAGCAGCTCCTCTCACTGGGAAACAGCTCTGGTAGTGATCTGTCGTGATGTTGGTCTTTGCTGGCAGAAAGCAAGACCTTTCTGGAATTTCCTTTATTGACCTTAAGAGTCTTGTAAAAAAATAATAAAAAACCTCCAGCCTTCCCACAATATGGGGCAGCCACCACAGGGTCACTAACCCATCTCAGGAATGCTATGACAGAGGCTCGTTTCCCTGGTGTCCTAAAGTTGTTCTCTCTTTCCCAGCCCTCTGATGGCTCACACAGGTCAAGCAGCAGCTCAAGCAGCAGCTCTGACTCTGACTAAAGGTCTGGCATGTCCCACCTGCTCCGTGGTGATCAGCAAAACATGAGGCCAAACTCCTCATGGGAACGCCCTGCATGTCACTCCTCTCCCTCCCCCTTTCCCTGGAGCAGTGATTTCACAGCCTGCTGAGTGATTTTTTCTTGTGTGCAAGAGCTTGTAAATAATTTGACCTGGAATCTTTGAGTTAATGTACAACATTTCCACCCTCTGTCTTCCGGGAGAGCCTGCTGAAAGTCATCACATGCTGTTTACCAATCTGCTGGTGTCCGTGTGTTTTTTCCTGGGCAATGATGCTGGCTGCTAACATTGATCCCGTAAAACTCCTTACATTTCATGTGAGGTTTCCCAGGTGTAGCAGAGGGAGTGGCTGGGGGATGCTGTAATTATGTGGGCTGCCATCCTCCACGCTAGGGTAATAATTTATAGGAAAAAGGTCACCATGGCAGAGGGATTCTCCCATGAACAAATGAGGAGCATGAACAGCTGGAAGTGTTCAAGACCAGTGCTTGGAGCAATTTGTGTCCCTGCCCATGGCAGGAGCAGTGGAATGAGATGATCTTTCAGTTCCCTCCTAACCCAAACCATTCTGTGATTCCATGATTATCTGGATTTACCAGCTTGAAACCAGGAGAATCAGCTGCTCACTAAAAATAATTTAAAAAATCCTCACTGTTGCAGCCCAAATTGCTGCTAGTAAAGTCCAGGGTAAGGAAGCAAAAAGGGCCTTTGCATAATATCCACAGATGTTTAATTCAGCCGCACAGTAACATGTTCAGGTTCCAGGCACGCACACATGGAGGGTCCATGTTTTTCTCCCCAGGGGCCCGGGGTCACCCTGGTCTTGGGGCAGTACAAAGATGAGGGACAATCAGGGAATAGGGAAGGAGTGGCTCAGGGACACAGGAGCAGACACAGGAACAGGGGAAGGAGCCGATGGGATCTTATCAGCTTTTTGAGGGAATTGCCTTGTGTCTCCCTAACCTAGGGATCCCCCTCCAGGGTCTCCACACCCCACAACTATGGAAAAAAGAAGCTTTTTCAGGATAGGTTGGAAAAGGTTTGTTTATTTTTGCAGACAGCACAATTTGAGTTCAAATCTGGGCATTGCTCAGCAGATACTGGTGGGAGGAAGGTACCATGAATGCTTTGAGCATACTGGGATGACTGGGAGGCAGCTCTGGAGGCTGTCCAGTATTTTGTTGATGCTGGGAATCATGCTGCCCCTCTCAGCTGAAATTCTGAGTGCAGTAATAGATGAGCAGCTTCTGATGAAGGGCAGAATAACAGAAGGAATCAAGGCAGGTATGGCCCACAGGAAAATAATGATCTTAGAGATGATTTGCAAAATTTAAGACAGATAAATCCCCCAAAGGAGCATCTGTGGAAGGCAGCAAAACCTCTCACACCATCCCACTGTTCACAGAAAGAAGGCACTGAGAGATATTGAGAGTTTGACTTATTCATTGGTCCTGCTACACTGGAAAGGTTTCTTCCATCTCTTATAAGCCCTCCTAGGATTACAGTACATACACAAGTCATGGCTTGGTGTGTGCAAAGCTTTACAGAAGTACTTCATATGGCTCTGTATCCTGCTTTGATCTGGGTTTTAATTAGCACCATAAATGTAAGATACATGGCTCTTCATCATGAAAATCAATAAAGAGCTCTGGATTTTGGTTAGAAAGGAGGATCCAGAGGGCAAGTCTTCAGGGCTAGCAACCATACAGGGGGAAGAAAATACAACAGGTAATATCAGGGGTGTGTATATCAGTGAGAGAAGGATTGTGTGCGTGCCCTTCTTTTAACAAATCCACCGAATGAACCTGTCGAAGAAGCTGGGCTGGGAGAGGCTGTCATAGTCCTTCTCCCGGAAAATGGCTGCCCGGTCCCCAAGACCAAGCTTCAGCAGGACATCCATGTCCACATCACTCCCCAGAGCCACCACCGTGGGCATGACATCTTGCTTCTTCATGGAGTTGATGGCCTCCTCCAGGTTCTTGCTTCCTGTGATGCCGTCGGTGATGAAGACGAAGGAGAGCTCAGCATTGCGCCGGGCAAGTCGCTGCCCATTGCCTGGGCTGAGCACAATGTTGTTGATGGCGTGGATGATGGCTGACCCAATGTTGGAGGATGAGTCTAGGTACTTGATCTGTGCCAGGGCGTCAGAGATCTCGGTGAGGTTGTGGGTCAGCGGGAAGACCACGTTCTGGTCCCGCTCACTGCCGTATTGCAGCAGCGCGATCCGGGCATTCATGTGGTCGCTGCTGCTCCGGGCCAGTGTCAGCTGCCGGGCCACACCCTCCACGAAGCGGTGGGCACTCTGGAAGTTCTGCTCCCCGATCCTTTCCGAGCCGTCCAGCAAGAAAACGACGTCAACGGGGCGCTGGGTGCACTGGGCTACAGCAAGCTCTGCAGGGGGAAGAAGAAGACAGGAGCTGGGAGGATGAGAAGACTAAGGGATAATTTGGGTTGGAGTTGCCTCTGTGCATCCTTGTCCAAAGAAAGACCAGCCCAACCCCACTACCAAAGCCTGTCTTTACAGCTTGAAATGTAGGAGCTTTGCTTTTGATGCCCTCAGCTACTTGGCATTTAATTAATGTTAATTCTGGGGCTGATCCTTGTGAAGTTAGACAGGTCTGTGCATTTCAGTCCCAGAATTACGCCCACTGCCCTACATCAATTTCCAGCTCTTATTTGTGAAAGGAATATCCAGAGATTAATGGCAAGCAGCACCTGAAAACCTCTCAGTTACTTCGGGAGAGTGGTTTACTGTCAGAGTTACTCTTATCATAAAATCATAGAATCAGAAAATCTCAGAATGGTTTGGGTTGGAGGGAACCTTAAGGTTCATCTTGTTCCTCCCCCCTGCCATGGGCAGGGACACCTTCCAGTAGACCAGGTTGCTCCAAGCCCAGTCTAACCATACAGAATATATGAATATATGCAGTGAATAAACTCAGGAAGAAACAAAAAGGAGAAGAAAGTAGCTATCTTTTGAGTCAGCTGATAGGGACCATTATTTTCTCCTTTTCCTGTAGTTATGTGCATTGCATTTAGTGTTCCTCTGGGTTCCTCCTGAGCTGGCAGAAGGACAATGCCCATAGCACTCTCAAGCAGTTCTGTGGGTCTGAGACTGAATCTTGAAAGGGTGAAGTCCCGAAGATGCTGCCACGTTGTGTTGCATCCCTGGCAAAGAATAGGAGCTTCTGGAGCAGCCCCACCTTGAGCATCCATTTCTGGCAACAAAGGGTAACCTTGGACGTAAGAGTGTAACGTTAGATTGAATTTCCACACTATGAGCAAATCCAGCCTGACAAAGAGCTTCCCTAGAGCTGAACAGTGCTTTTGCCAGGGTTCAGCACAGAACTGGGGAATCACAGAATCTGAATGGTTAGAAAAGCCCTCTGAGATCCTCAAGTCCGGCCATTAACTCAGCACTATTGTGTTAACCTCTAACCCATATCCCTAAGCACCACATCACGTTTTTTGAATGCTTTCTTGGATGATGACTCCACTGTTTCCCTGGGCATCCTGTTTCAGAGCCTGAGCACCCTTTCACTGAAGAAATTCCCCCTAATATCCAATATAAATCTCCCCTGGTGCAACCTGAGACCATTTCCTTTTGTCCTCTCACTTGTTACCTCCCCTCTTTTAAAGCAATAAAGGCACATACTCACCTCTGCCCAAACTTCTGTGAGAAATGTTGTGTAAAGGCACGTTGATGCTGCAGTTCCTGGTACACAGGCACTGCTGCCACAAGGATACCTTGCCTTGGCAGCACCTGCACTTCTGGTCCTCACCTGCTCTGAGCAGCCGTGGAGGGGGAAAGGCAGGAAGGAATCCCCCTTGCAACCACACAGCCCAACACCTATGTGAGGGTCTCTGAAAGCAGGTGGGAGCAGGGGCTGTGCATCATGTTGGGGCAGTGTTAACAGCCTCCCCCAAGGCCTGCCCACATGTTTTTTAAGACAACAAGAAAGACTGAAAAACTCCTGGCTAAGCAGAGGGCAGCATCACTCAATGGAGCTTCAGCGAGAGCGTAGTACACATCTGATAGGAGCATTCTCCAGGCTCACTGGTCAGCCCTCACAGCTGGAGAAGGCTGCCTTCCAGTGTTTGATAAGGTGCCTTTACATACGTGTTATCCCAAGGGAATGTGAGGCAGCAAGGCCTTGGGTTTGTCCTGTTCAGTGTCAGGCTCTGGTTGCAGCTTGTTCCCATTTCTGAGAGGCTGAGGACCTGAGCACCCTTTCCTGCAGCAAGATTCTCATCCTAACTGGAAGAGAAGCACTCAAAGGCACCACCATGAATTAGGCCAACCAATGCTGTCGTGCTTTTAACTGGTGCATTGGTCTTTTTTGTGTGGATCATGAATGCCTATGGCTCACAGCTGAAGATGTCTAACAAAGGCAACACAAATAATCAGAAATATCATTGATTTTTCTGCCTTTAATGTGTGCAGAGCAACCCCACCCATTCACATCACCTTCCTGTTTCTTCTAAAACCTGAGGAACTTGTATTTCCTCTATTCTTACCCAGAGTTGATAGTGGAGATGAAAGTGAGGTGGGGACTGATGTCCCAGACCTTTTTGGGGTTTCCCCCCTTCCCAGCCCCTCCTGTCTTTGGGAAGGCGTGGACCATCCTTTACACAGCTCCTTATCTTTCCTTGCTTTGCCCAAGAGCTTCACTGAAGGAACTGCTACTGTGATGAAATCCATCTGGTTTTATCAGAGGGATTAGCTAGGATTATGCTCAAAAAACCACTCCTTCACCAATTTGCCTCTAACAAGAACAAGCACAAATACTCCTCATGCAAAGAGATGTTTTCTCCCTCTACCCACCTCTAAAGAGCTGAAGGTTTTTGAGAGGTAAAAAACTTTGTTTCTAATGTTTTTCTAGCAATAAATGGCCACTCTGTGATGAAATTAAATAAAATCAACACCCCTTTAGCTGAAATCTTCCCCAATCCTTTCTTTCTTTGTCAAAATGTCCCAGCCCTGGGATCTTATCGAATCAGTGAGGTTTGGGAGCTTTTCCTCTGCCATCATGGCTGAAGCAGCTTAACTACTCTGAGTTCAGTCCTGCATCCCAGCAGGCTAAGTCACACTAATTTTGCAGTAAAAAATTCAAAAGAGAATAGGGAGTTTGGCTTTGCACAGACTCTCTGGAATATGTGAATTATGACCAGAGTCAGGCAGAGGCTTATCTTTTTGCTTTCACTTAAAACACAGAGCACATCGTGGAAAGCCCTAA